CTATTTTGGAGTGATAGCCCCCTGGTGGAAACTCCAAGAGTCGCCACTGCTTGACATGCTGTTAGCTGAACAGGGAGAAGTATGCGCCATGATTGTAGAAGAATGTTGCACATTTATTCCCAACAACATAGCACCCGATGGTAAAGTAACCAAAGCAATTAAAGAATTAAAAGCTCTCTCCCAAGAAATGCAAGAGGCTTCAGGGATAAACAATTCCCAAACAGACTGGTTTAATCGTACTTTTGGTAGATCGAAAGCTTTGGTAATGTCAGTGCTCCTCTCTATCTCAATCTTCGTGGGTGTACTTGTGACTTGTGGATGTTGCTGTATCCATTGCATAAGATTCCTTGTGAATAGAGTAAGCACTACAGCCATTGAGCAAAGGGACCCAGGCTCGGCAATGCCCTTATTAGCTTGCTCTGCGGTAGAGGATGTGATGACTCTGGCCAACCAGGTGTACATCAATTAGAATAGTTTGGTCTCTTAAAAGAGACCAAAAGGGGGAATTTGTGAATAATTATCTAAATGTTTGACAAACAAACAGTGATGAATTCTTTAAGTTTTCTATATTTATGTACAAATATAACCTAAAAACATCATCAGAGTTCCACACAAATCCTAGAAGTGGTGAAGGAAAATCACAAGATCAACTTGACCGTTTTGCTCACAGGCAGAGAGAAATTAACGAGGCAGTCCTGGCTTAGATAAGAAAGAATGTGAAACCACAGATAAGAACCAATATGCACTCGCTTTAATGCTTAGATAACAGTTTCACTTAGAAACACTCAAAATTAATTAAAAACTATTTTAAACTGGTCCCGTCACAACCGGAGTGTATAGGAGTGTCTAAAATAAAGGCAGGAACCTAGCAACAAGTTCAACCAATACCTAAAGACCCCCTCCCTCACTGTTAAAAGTGTGAACCAATCAAAAAGGGATAGACCCTGGAAAAAAGGTGGGATTACTATGGGGTTTATAAGCTCCCGCACACTCTTTTTTTAGCTTTCAGACAATCTTGGGTTCTTGGCTCGCTAGAATCAAGGTGACGTACTCACAGATTGTCTCCTGAATGCATTCAGGTTTTAATATTGTACATGTACTCTTTTTAATGTTGTGAAATAAATGTGTTAACTTTAAGGTGAAGTCTCCTGAAGTGTGCCTCCTCGATCAACGATTCATAAGGTGAAGATTACCCCAACAGTAGATTACAACAAAAAAGGTTAAATCGTAATCTGGCCACATTTCTTAAAAAAAAATTGTTCAGATGACATGATTTAACCTTTTTTGTTCCATTGATTAATGTTACACACGTGCACGCTCTTACCTCTTCCTTCGAGGTTAAGGTGCTTGGAGGTGTTTAACCTGAGCCTTTCTGGAGCTGGACGTTCCTCTCAGGGTAAATGGACTATAATTACAGCGCCTTTCTATCTTATGAAGACACTCAAAGCTCTTTACAACAATCTGTACCTCATTTACCCATTCATACAGCTCTATACTAGATCTCTACAAAGCTAATTGAACAAATCATTCTAAAGAGCCTATTCAGTGCTTTAGATCACATTCATACACTGATGGGACACACATCAGATGCAATGAGGGGTTCAGTGTCTTGCCCAGGGACACTTTGGCATGTGACAGCTGGTGGATTCGAATCCCCAACTTTTGCATTGGAAGACGACTGCTCTAACCACTCAGCCATAGCCGCCCAAGGGTGAGATGACTTGGAGATGAAGGATGAAGTTACAGTTTGTGGCGGGGTCATCACATCATACACTTAGAGGTGCACTTTTAGACTTTTTTCCTGGAGTTTTTGTAGTTTCCCTGGTTCTCTCTCCACGTAAAAGCTTTCATCACATCAATAATCTCATCTTTATACAGCTTTTATTTTAATTACAAAAACATAATTCCTCTTTATATACAGAACATCAGGGCATGTCTGAACACGCAGATCCAAACGTTCACCACAACAAACTGGATGTTGTGTGTGTGTGTGTGTGTATGTGTGCGTGTGTGTGTGTGTGTGTGAACCCTAAAGGAAGAACTCGGACCAGTAAAGCTGAGTATAGTCTGTCATTGTTGTGTTATGACTGGTTGTCAGAGGTTTCCATGGTAACAAAGTGACAGAGTGGCTGTCTTGTGTGTGTTGCTGTGGTAACAGCTGTCACCGTAAAAATAATGGGGGCCATCTCTGTGTTGCCATGGTAACAGCTGTCACAGTAACAAAATGATGGGGGGGGCGTCTGCATGTTGTTGTAACAGGTGGCACAGTAACAGAGTGGCAGGGGGACCTTCTGTGTGCGTTGCTATGGTAACAGCGGTCACAGTGTCTCGTCAGTGCCATCATCTTTCATCATATCCTGGCTCCTGCTGGCCATGTGAGTCAAGCTCCCATTGTGACCCGACATGTAGTTGGAGCTGTAACCCAGCGATGCTGCCATGCTAATGGGCAGCGACACACTCTGTGGTAGGGGTCTCCCCCCACTGCGGGTTGACTCTCCATTAAGGTCGGCACTGTTCCTTTTTGTGAGGGGATGAGGATTGTAAGATGTCAGACACTCGTTCTCCAGAATTATGTCCTTGTCATCGTCTTCCTCATCACTGTCACCCTCGGCGATGCTGCTGCTGTAATGACACACCACAGGTGGAACTGGTTTGCGTTGGATAAATACACAGGTAACGCATCGTTGTACTTTGTACATATAGTACATTATATGCCCAGGGATGAACAATACAATACAATAATACAGCAATCTACAGCGATGGCTCAGACAAGCAAAAAGCTTGCTTTAACTTTGACCTTGACTTTGGAGCTGGGGTAATGAAAAGTGCATGTGACACTCCGTGTGGGGGTAGTGATGCATGTGAGTAACAAGTGTAATTAAATTATCTTGAGTAGGTCAGAAGTTATGGATGGGAAATGAAAGACAGATGGAGCTTATATTATAATTTATCTGTTTAAACGAGCTTCTGAAAACTAAAAATGAAGCATTTTATTTGATGTATTTACTTATATTTAGATGAGTAATCTCATGGAGACGGGTCTTTTACAAGAGACGTGTAAATGAAACATGTTCGCCTCCAGCTGTGATCCGAGAGTTTGGAGATAAGATCGTCTCAAGGTAAGAAAAAAACAGATATGTAGAACCTTCTCATGAAATACAGACCTCAATAATCCCAGACCATTTATTATTATTTTGTTGTTGTTGTTGTTTTTTTACACCAAAGTAGAGTTCAATATTTCTAAAACAGAGTTTTAACCATTTCTGTGCTGACTAATGTTGATTATTTGTGGCAGACATCTTGGATTGGGGCAATTCCAAAGGCTAACTAGAGAAATTGCATTTCCTGCAAAAATGCATTGTGAATGCTTGTTGCTGAAGAACTTGCCGAAACAGCTGAAATTAGCTAAAACATGCTGAAATGTAGCTGAAATGGAAGAACAAGCCTAAATTAGCAGAAGAAAGCAGAACGAACTTAATCCAGAACGAACAATAATCCAGGTAGAATCAGAATCAGCCATCCACAACAACAAAATGAAAGAGGCTAAAGCAGAACAGCTCAGAATCAAAGTTTCAGCCTGCCTCAGCAATGCCAAACCACCACCTTCCAATATCAGTAGAGAGGAGAGGGATGCACTTACCACTCTTAGCAAGGACAAAAACATCATCATTCTCCCAGCAGACAAAGGAAGGTGCACAGTGATTTTGAACCAGAAAGACTATCATGAGAAAGTTATGACACTCCTTAGTGACTTAAACACTTATGAACCTCTGAAAAGAGATCCAGGAAGTGGTTACAAGAAGAAGTTAATAGATTGCCTGAAAAATTTGGAGCAGGACAAGGCTATTGACCATTTTCTGTACCACAGACTGTACCCAGGGGAGGCCACACCTAGTCTGTATGGTTTACCTAAAATCCACAAACAAGGTGTACCTTTAAGACCTATTGTTAGCATGATTAACTCTGTCACTTACAATGTTTCCAAATATCTGGCGTCTGTACTCATCCCTTTAGTTGGCAGCTCAGAACACCACATACAGAACACCATGGACTTTGTGGACAAGGTGAGGGATGTCATCATGGAGACTGATGAAACAATGGTCTCTTTTGATGTCACATCACTCTTTACGTGCATTCCTGTTGATGATGCAGTAGAGGTGGTCAGTTTAAAATTAAAATCAGACACCACTCTGAGCAGCAGGACCACGCTTTCCACAGAACAACTGTGTCAACTCTTGAAACTGTGCCTGCAGTCAACCTACTTCACATATGGGGAGCATTATTATAGACAGAAACATGGGTGTGCTATGGGGTCTCCAGTTTCTCCTATTGTTGCCAACCTGTACATGGAGGAGGTAGAAAAGAGAGCCTTGACGTCCTTTTCAGGGACACCACCAAGTCATTGGTTCAGGTATGTTGACGACACCTGGGTTAAAATTAAATCTCAGGAAGTCCAACATTTTACTGACCACATCAACTCTGTGGATAAATACATCAAGTTCACACGAGAAGATGTAAAAAATGGCAGGTTGGCTTTCTTGGACTGTGAGGTCTCAGTCTCTGATAGAGGACATTTGCAAACCGAGGTGTACCGCAAACCCACCCACACAGACCAGTATTTGCAGTTTGACTCCCATCACCCTTTGGAGCACAAGTTAGGAGTCATCAGGACTCTGTACCACAGAGCAGACAGCGTCCCCACTAACTCAGGAGCCAGGCAGAAGGAGAAATCCCACACAAGACAGGCTCTAGAGCAATGTGGATATCCTAACTGGGCCTTCCTGAAAGCAGAGAAGAAACCCAAACAGGACTCCAGTCAGCCAACAGGTGTAAAGGAGGAACCCAGACCCAGACCAGTGGTCATTCCATATGTTGAGGGAGTATCAGAGAAACTGAGACGTTTATTTTCTAAACATAACGTCCCAGTGGCTTTTAAACTCCAAAATACATTAAAGACTGGTTCATCCCAAAGATCCAGTCCCCCGGCACAAACAGAGTAATATTGTGTGTGCTGTTCAGTGTCAGGAGGGTGATCAGTCTTACATCGGGGAAACTAAACAGCCACTGGCCAAAAGGATGGCCCAGCACAGAAGATCAACATCATCAGGCCAGGACTCTGCGGTCTACACTCATCTCCAAGCCAGAGGTCACTCTTTCAGGGATGAAGATGTTCACATCCTTGATAGTAACGATGGTTTGAGAGAGGAGTAATGGTAAATGGTAAATGGTCTGTATTTATATAGCGACTTTTTATCTTATTGAGATACTCAAAGCGCTTTCCACTACAACCTGTGTCCTCATTTTCCCATTCATACAGCACTCTACTAGATCTCTACAAAGCTAATTGAACAAATCATTCTAAAGAGACTAATCAGTGCTTTAGATCACATTCATACACTGATGGGACACATAGGAGGCAATGAGGTGTTCAGTGTCTTGCCCATGGACACTTCGGCATGTGACTGCTCGTGGATTCGAACCCCCAACTCTTGCATTGGCGGACGACTGCTCTAACGACTCAGCCACAGCTGCACCTTCAAGTAAAGGAGTAAAGGAGGCCATTGTTATGAAAAGAAACCGTCCATCATTAAACAGGGGTGGAGGCCTCCGGGTTCAACTGTCCCCCTCTTACAATGCTGTGATTGCTAGTATCACTCAGCCCTCTGTGAACAGTAAACAGCCATCAGTGTGCTAATGATCCATTGTTAGGCTGATGGTCCTTCTTGAGCATGTGATCAGCTGGTTTTGGTTGTCAGCAGCAAAACTGGTTGATCCACTCTGAGAAGGTGCTATTTAAGAGACTGAGCTGAAAACAGCACCTCAGACTGAGGAAGTCTCTCGGATGAGAGACGAAACGTTTCTACAATTTTTTTTGTTTGTTTGTTTGTTTTGTTTTTTGAATATCCACAGGACCACACTTAACTTTTTTTGATTTGCTGAATTAGGTTTAAATAAGCAGGAATTAGCACAAAAATTAGGAAATGAGCTAAAAAAAAAAAGCTGAATTAAGCAAAAATCACTGAAAAGTAGCTGAAAAGGCAGAACGAAGCCTAAAGTTAATGAAGCATAAAGAGCTTGAAATAGAATGAATGAAAAAATGAGTTTTAAAAAGGTGGAGTTGGCTGAAAAAGCAAACATTAGCTTAAAAACAACTAAAAAGTAGATGAAATAGCAGAAACTAGCCAAAAAAGCTGAAAGGCGCACAAAATGCTGAAATTAGCATAACTTATTTAGGTTGAAAGTAGTAGAAATTACCACAAAAACATGAATTTATCAGGAAAAACTGAAATTAACTAATAATAATAATAATGAATACAAAAAAAAAGTAGCCGAAAAGGTCGAACAAGCTTAAATTAGCAGAAGACAGCAGAAAAAAAACGCATTTGTCCAATTAGGCCGAAAGAAGCCGAAATGAGCACAAAAAGATAGAAATTATCTGAAACAAACTCCCTCTGAAATTATCAAATAAATAGCTGAGAAATAGCTAAAAAATCAGAAGGAAGATTAAATTACAAGAAGGAAGTGGAGAGAGCACATTTTTGTTGATATAGGCTGAAAAATTTTACATTATTAAAATTCAATTAAAATTCAATTAGCTGAAAAAGTTAAAATTAACATAAAAACAGTTGCTAAAATAGTAGGAAAAATTAAACTTGCAGAAATAAGCTGAAAGGAGCATAACAAGCTGAAATGAGCAGAATGAAGTTAGAAGCACAAAAATGTTCTAGTTAGCCAAAAAAAAAAAAAAAAGTCTGAAAGGAGCACAAAACAGCTAAAATTAGCTGAAAGTAGCTGAAAAAAGTTTAAGTTTGCAGAAGGAAGTTTTAAGAAGCTGAAGCAGAACAAAATGTGAAAGGAGCAATAAAAGGTTGTTAACAGATCTAAAGATTTGAAGGATGAAAAATGAGCTCAATTCATTTTCTCTGAGGAAAAAACGGCAGAAAAAGCTAAATATTTCAAAAAGCTAAAGTTGCACCAAAACCAAAAGTCACAGCAGGATTGCCCTGAACAGGCTGAATGTTTTGATAATTAAATTGTTGAAATAGCTTGAAAACTGTGGGATGCAAAATGCAAGCATAGACTAGAAATAAAGTGAAACAGGAAAACAATATTATTTCTTTCTGTTTAACATTTGTCATTTTCCACTTTACCCTCCACCACTAAGGTAAACTTTAATAAATGAGTTTTATTTTTGATGAGAACTTTATCAGTGATGGGAGCGAGACACGTGGTCCAGATGGGAAAGAAACATTTCACTTTCAGTTTAGTGAGCAGTTAGTGTCAAACTCATTAAGTTCTACCTTGTGGTAATAGGGTTGCTCTGAGAGGCAGGGCTCGGAGAGTCATGTGATAGGACAGAACTAGAAGATCCAGCTGAGTCCACAAAACCAGAGTTCCCCATGGTGCTTTTACTCCCTCGAGGAACAATATTGTTCCTCTGGTTGGCTGGTTTCACCGTCACAATGAGGTTGTGACTGTTGGCCACCATCATGTCTGTAACCTGAAACGACACACAAGTCCCTCAGGTAAGGACGAGGACTTCTGGACCACTCTGGACCTTGAACCTTCTGTTTGGTCTGCAAAATCCAGTATGGTCTCCAGACTCAGAAGAAGGACATGAAAGCAAACCTTGGGAAAGCTGCAAAAAGATGACGATTCAAAGGTTTGGAGCATTGGAGGACGACTGCTCTAACCACTCAGCCACAGCCGCCCCAAATCATCCATCCATACATAATCTATTCATCATTCATTCAATTCAATTCACTTTATTTATATAGCGCCAAATCACAACAAAGTTGTCTCAGGGCACTTTACAGGAACATTCACATAAAAGCCAATTAGTAAAGTTCTCTATCTAAGGAATCCAGCAGACGAGTTGAATCTTGGCTTCGTTGCAGTCTCCCATCCTGAGCAAGCACAGTGGCAACAGTGGGAAGAAAAACTCCCTTTAACAGGAAGAAACCTCCAGCAGAACCAGCTCAGGACAAGCGGCCATCTGCTTTGACCGGCTGGTTGAGAGGACAGGAAGGAGAGACAGACGGACATAGAATGGTAGGTCCAGGTGTACCTGAAAGACAAAACAACACATGTTAAGGATAAAAAAAATAATTACAAATACAAAACAGGTTGAGCAGAGTAAGTAAAGACTGTAGCAGAGTGAAAATTGTGGTCAGTTTGTCCTCCAGCAGTCTAAGTCTATGGCAGCATAAATAAGGAACAGCTCAGGAAACCCAAGCCGACCCTAACTATAGGATTTAACAAAAAGAAAAGTCTTAAGCCTAGTTTTAAAACTGGACAATGTGTCAGCCTCACGGACAGAGATTTCAAGTTGGTTTCACAAGAGAGGAACCTGATAACAGAAAGATCTGCCTCCCATTCTGTTTTTATAAACTCTAGGAACCACAAGTAAACCTGCAGTCTGAGAGCGAAGTGCTCTGTTAGGAAAATATGGAACAATAAGATCTGTAATATAAGATGGAGCTAGGTTGTTGAGAGCTTTGTAGATTAGAAGTAAGATTTTGAATTCTATTCTGGATTTGACAGGGAGCCAATGGAGAGAAGCTAAAACTGGAGAGATATGATCTCTCCCAGTAACTCCAGTTAAGACTCTGGCAGCAGCATTTTGGATCAACTGAAGACGTTTTAAAGAAGTATTTGGACACCCAGACAATAAACCATTGCAATAGTCCAGTCTAGATGTGACAAATGCATGGACCAGTTTTTCTGCATCATCTTTAGATCAGATGTTTCTAATGTTAGTGATATTACGCAGGTGGAAGAAGGAGGTTCTAGTAACGTTTTTAATGTGGGGGATAAAAGACATGTCCTGATCAAAAATAACACCAAGATTTTTAACATTAGAGCTGGAGGACAGATTAATGCATCTAAGGAGGGAGAAAGACTGAAACATTCATTCCTAAGGTGCTCAGGTCCAAAAACTAAAACCTCAGTCTTGTCTGTTCAACAGGAGAACATTAAGGGTCATCCAGGTTTTTATGTCTTTAAGACATGCTTGTAGTCTAAGTAGCTGATTGGATTCATTGGGTTTAATGGACAAATATAATTGTGTCATCAGCATAACAATGGAAATTTATCCCATGCTGTTTAATAACTTTACCTCATGGAAGCATATAGAAAGTAAAGAGTATTGGTCCAAGCACTGAGCCCTGAGGAACTCCATGACTAACTTTGGTGTATGAAGATTTATTATTTACATTTACAAACTGGAATCTATCAGATAGATATGATTTAAACCATTTTAGAGCTGTTCCTGTAATTCCAATATCATATTCAAGCCTCTTTAGTAAAATATTGTGATCAACTGTATCAAATGCAGCACTGAGGTCTAACAGGACCAGTAGAGACACAAGTCCATTATCTGAGGCCACGAGAACATCATTAGTGACTTTTACTAGTGCTGTTTCTGTGCTATGATGAGCTCTAAACCCTGACTGAAACTCTTCAAACAGATTATTTCTTTGTAGATGTTCACGCAACTGACCTACAACTATTTTCTCTAGAATTTTTTAGATGAAAGCTAGATTAGATATATCCTGATGCATGCTCAATAAACCAGGTAGAAAAATCTAAAAAAAAGTTAAATCTGGTCCTCTGGACATTCAAAAAAACAAAACAAAGCAAATCGACAAAAAAATGACGAAACGTTTCTACATTTTTTTGTCGATTTGCTTTGTTTTGTTTTTTTGAATGTCCAAAGGACCAGATTTTACTTTTTTAGATAGATTAGATATAGGTCTATAGTTGGCCAGAATTTCTGAATCAAGGTCAGACTTTTTAAATAAAGGTTTAATTACAGCAACTGTAGTGAAATGTGGGGGTCAGCCTTTGCTGTCGCTTCACTACTAAAAATTTAAATATAATGGGTTCTTTCTTTTTCGAGTTAAATTAATGCCATGAGACCGAGATAACTGGGAGTATTGTTTAATCAGTGACAGGAGACGTTATTTTCCTTTGACCCATCAGAATAAATGCGGTCATTTATTTAACAGAATCAAAATTTAACATCAAAACATTGTACACTTGATTTGCTGATCTGGTTCTGATTAACAAAACTTGGCACGCTTTACTAATAAAACAACAGGACATTTCTGAAGGCATCTAGAAAGATTTACAAAATAGAAGAGTTTAAAGGAAGGAATGGAGAAGTTTAAAGGAGATGGATGAAGGGAGGTGTACGTTTGGATTGACTAGAATTAGCACACTTTTTTCAACACCAGCTCAAACCTCTGGTACCTCAGGACGTGCAGAGACTTCGTTACCTTAGACGGGGGATACCTCCACTACGGAACAGAAGTCCATTAGTACGATCCTTTTACAGCGTCTCCGGTCAGAGTGGCTGGGCATCGTCAGAAGTCGTGTGGTTTACTCCGTTAAACAGACACGCTTCCTTTGAAGTTGTAGGTGTTACGCCCGGGTGGATTCATAGCAAGGCGCTGTGACTCCGTCAGAGATCCCACTCAGAAGTGGAATATTCACAGACTCCATGAAGACTCCAGTCCAAGACTGTTCCAAGCTTCAGAAGACTGAAGAAGCCTGAAGAAGACTCAGAAGAACTGAATAGTTCCAGGAAGTGTCGACTTTTAAAGAGTCTTCACTTCCGGTCACTTAATACTTCCTGATTGGTTGAAACAACCAACAGGGGGTGGTTCTAGTGATGTCAGAGGGTTATTAAAAGTCAAGAGAGGGTTCAGGAATGTTTAGGAACGTTTAGTACAGACAGAGAAATGTTATGGCGAAGTGAGACAACGCAGATGCCAGTGGCAGTTGTTTACCATCTGTTAGGTTTAAAAACAATACAGTTCGTTCTAATAACTTGTTTTCTGACTGTCTCTGACTTTTGACCGACATCACTACTTCTCCTTTAGACAGAAAATCAAAATGCATAATTACTTTGTAAATAGACATTTAACTTGATTTTTAAGTCTAATGAGGTTTAAAAATCATTAGTACTGTTTCACAGTTGATTTAAATGAGTGGTTTACTTTCAACATTAGAAATGATATGAACTAAACACACTTTTGATTATCAAGATATTGTAAAATAGTAATGATACCAAAAAAAAGAAGAGTGTTCTTTCAATTGATTAATTCAGGATACAATTAGAAAGTCTCTGGATGAGCTAATTTGTATTTCTGAATTCAAATCAATGAAACAACAGTTCCTGTCCCATGAAGGTCTTCAGAGACAGGTTTTGGTCGGAGGCCGAGTTCACTACCCAACCTTAAAGCGCTGTGGTACATAACCATCCATTAAAGACAAATTAAGTAGATCCAAAATGTGGACATTAATTTGGGGAAATACCTCTTTAAACAGTCTGGTTGGGATGGGATCTAGCAGGCATGTGGATGGTTTGGATGAGGTTATTGTTCAAAACAACACAACGTCCCAGTGGCTTTTAAACCCCAAAATACATTACGGCAAAGACTGCTTGTACCGGGGGACTGGATCTTTGGGATGAACCAGTGTAATATTGTGTATGCTGTTCAGTGTCAGGTGGATTATCAGTTTTACATCGGGGAAAGTAAACTGCCACTGGTCAAAAGGATGGCCCAGCAAAGAAGATCAACATCATCAGGCCAGGACTCTGAGGTCTACACTCATCTCCAGGCCAGAGGTCACTCTTTCAGGGATGAAGATGTTCACATCCTGGATAGAGAGGAACGATGGTTTGAGGGGCTGTTTACACGGCGTGTATTTTGAGTGCATCCGCTCCTTTCTCTCTGAGGTTCTGCTGATCATTTACACGACACCAGTGGCCCCCCTCTTTGAATCTGGAGGTTTCTGAACCCACCTTCCAGAGTGGAGGTTTTTCACTGACCGCCCGCTGATAATGTAAACATCTCCCGCAGAGGCTTTGTGTTAAACCACATGCGCACGCGCACGCACGGACAGACACTATATTTCTATCAACATGGCGGCGGACACACTGCTTTCTGAACTACGACTGATGGAATATATTTTAATCTCGTAGTTAATCTACGTCAGATTCTAGGTGCTGTGACCGACATCTGTGTTGGAAGAGACACAGTCTGATCCAGTTCTAATGTCACTGTTTATAGAACGAGGCACGTGCACACGTCGCGCTGCACTATGACATACTAAATGTGCTAAATAATAAGTTTAATAATAATAAACAGTATTTATCTTTAGTTTGAAATATATAATGAAGCTCTCTGAGCTAAATTAAGCTATCTGGACATGATGTAATTCAAATTATGTGATTAAAATGATGTTAAACATATTGCATGCTATTAACGTTGAAAATGAAGACATCAGGTTTAATTTTTATTTATTCATTCAACACCACCAACTAACTGTATGTCACACAAACACTGATAATTAAACTGAACACACTATTAAAACACGTTAACTGTAAACTGCATTAATGAACTGGACTCTTGTTTTCATCCTGGAATCTGGTCTCATGTTGTTCATCTGGCTCGTTCAGGCTGTCACTCCTTTGATTAGTGCAGCTAAAAAAAATTCAATAGATTGAATAAAAGAACTGAGGGGAATTTTAAATAAATAGTTCATCCAACATCTCTCTCTTCAACGTCCTCCTGCACTGCACCTGGGCCGAGCCTCGTTCAGAACCGGTCCGCCTGGTGGGAGGACAGCTTCTTCTTTCAAAACTCAGTTGGTTGTTTTGTAACCAAAGTAAACACAAGCTAACATTATTAAGAACATTTGATTTACCTGCTGTAAATCAGCAGCTAATGATCACGAAGTAAAGTCCGACATTGTCGACTCGGTTCTGGTTCACTCAGCGACCGGTGTGGAGCTGTTAGATGATGCAGTCCTGCTTGGCGTCAAATCTGTTGACTCTTATCCAAAATCCAGCTTTAACTTGTTGTTCAGTTGATGGCTGAGCTTTTAGCCCAGAGTAAAGGAGCGTGCTGAGGCAGCACGCATGCACATTAGGTGAAGGTACATAATTCACAGCGCCATCTAATGACCCGGCATAGTAACTACAGCAGATTCGGGAGGGTGGGGGGGTGGGGGGGATTCCTACGGATGCATGTAAACACAAAAACTGACCGTGTCAACGCAAATCTTTTCCTCTAATTAACATACGAAAAAACCTATGTTTCCCCCCCATCGTGTCCGTGGAAATAGGGACTGACAGAGGAGTAAAGGAGGCCATCTTTGTGAAAAGAAACCGTACATCATTAAACAGGGGTGGAGGCCTCCGGGTTCAACTGTCTCCCTCTTACAATGCTGTGATTGCTAGTATCACTCAACCCCCTGTGAATATCAAACAGCCATCAGTGTGCTAATAATCCATTGTTAGGCTGATGATCCTCCTTGATCATGTGAGCAGCTGGTTTTGGTTGTCAGCAGCAAACTGGTTGATCCACTCTGAGAAGATGCTGTTTATAAGACTGAGCTGAATACAGCTCCTCAAATTGAAAAAGTCTTTCGAAACGTTTCTACTTTTTTTTTTTTTTAATGTCTAGAAGACCACACTAAACATTTTTAGAGAAAATATAAATGTTTTTTCTTTCTTGTGCTTACCTGATCCAAAGACTTTCCTGCTACATCAATGCCGTTCACCTCCAGAATTTCATCATTAACAGCCAGGAGTCCTGTGCTCTCTGCAAGGCCACCACGCACCATTCGAGATATGAAGACTCCGGGAACCTTCAGACACATACACATGTTAGACAACAACTAGATTGGTTTTATTTGCATTAAATCAAGTACAGATGGCATATGTACCCACAAAAAACAGTTAAAAATGAAAACAGGTCATATATTGAGTGTGCTTGGATATTTATTTAAACTAGAAAGTTCTATGAGAAATGAAACCAAGGCAACAACTGTATGAAAGTCCACCATCTATCCACCATCTCCTCTGAAACTCAGGAGTAACTTTGGATTTCCTTTGAAAGGATCTAAGCTGACAAAATGACACATTTTTGATGAATAAACTGTCGAAATTTAAAGAAAGAAATGTTAATGCTGTTCAGTCTGGTCCCCATGGAGAAATTGCCTGAGGTTCTACAAAAATCAGAGACACTCGGTGAAAAGGAAGACAAGAACCTACATTAGGATGTCTAAATTATACAGAATGTGTGAAGACAACAAGAAGAAGCAACATAAGAACCTAAATTATAGGTTTTCTCTTTAGTTTCTTTTGTGTGATTATTGCAAACTACTTCCACAACCTTTGTGCTTTTATTCAGTTAATAAGCTAAACATTAGGTTTTTTTTTTTACTTTATATTTCAAAATAAAATATAATAAATAAAATATTGTAAATAATTTCCAGGTTTTGTATCTCCATGTCTCGGCGAGCAGGTTACCCTGGTTCAAATCCCAGTCCGGGGGCCTTTCTGGGTGGAGTTTGTATGTTCTCTCCATACATATGTGGGTTTTCTCCGTGTATTCCGATTTCCTCCCACAGACCACATGCGTTAGACTGATTGGCAACTGTAAATTGTCCCTAGGTGTGAGTGAGTGAACAGTTGTTTGTCTCGTTTGTTACTATGTAGCCCTGTGATGGACTGGAGACCTGTCCAGGGTGTACCCCATCTCTTGCACAGTGATTGCTGGACATGGGCACCAGTGACCCACGTGACCCAAAAAGGAAAAAGCGGGTAAAGATAATGGATGGATGGATGGATGGATGGGTCTCCATGTAGTCCACACACGTAGACATGGTGAAGTGTATAAACCATCTCACCTTCTCTACACCTTGTGGTGTCACCCGTACACTCACTCCGTCCCGGATGTAGAAGCCCAGAGGTTTCTTGGTGCCATGTTTGTGGAGTCGGACCCTCCTGTGGGTCTCAGGTAGAATGTCCACATCGATGATGGAGGAGATCTGTCTGAAGTTCTGCGGTGGGCCAATCATGAGGCCCGATTTGTTCTTAGAGTTGATGGTACCAGTACCAGTGTTGCGCAGTCCAGTTAGGCCCATTACTTTCTTACGCCTTTGCAGTGAGTTGGTGCCATAAACTCCAGAGTCACCCTCTTCAAGAAAACACAGGATAATCCAGAGTAAAGACAAAAAAAATACGTTGAATTATCAATGTTTAGAGATCCACAATAACACATTAAAATAACAAGATAAATGTTAATAGAAAAGATAAAACTGCATTAAAGCTGCAAGCAGCATTGGAGGCCCTTGCAGCAAAGCGCCGCTTTGCTTTCAGGTCTTCCAAGTATAGGTGAAATCCGATCTTTCAGACAGAGGCGTTATTGTGACTTGCTGTTTGATGGCGAATGTTTGACGAGCACTTCCTTTATGCTTTTCAACATGTCATGTGTTAATCAACAGTTAGCGAACAAAGTTTCAGTCTAATATCTTACACAGGGCGAAGCTGTAAGAGTCATCCAATAATCAACAGTTTTTTTCTATGAGTAGGTGGGGCTTAAGTGATGTCATGAATCAACAACACTAACGTGTCTACAAGTGTTCACTCATCAAGCACAAAAAATCAGGTGCAGACCAGATTATGTATCACTAAGATATAACTGTTTCAATAATGTAGGGGGTGCATTAGAGTCTAGTGTTAAACAACAATACCAACGTGTGTAAAAGTGCTCACTGATGACGTGCAATAAATCTGGTGCAGATTGGATCATGTACCACTGAGATAAAACTGTTGAAATACTCTAGGGGCGCACTGGAGTCACATGTTAAACCACAATATCAATGTGTCTAGAAGTGCTCATTACTGACACACAATAAATTTGGTGCAGATCGGATTATATATCACTGAGTGCTAACTGTATGAATAATGTAGGGGGCGCTGTGGAGGCTATTGGCCACTTATCATGGATTTCTGTTCAAGGGGTAGATAATGATCGATCAAATTGATTTTGGTACACCTCGGCTCAAATCTGTGCAATTTAGAGCCAAACGTATTGTAACGGCGTCACTTCTAAATTCGTCACGCTGCCACGCCCACATCCTCCTTCAAAAACAGTTTGGAATTTAAAGTAAGTCAGACCAACTTGTTATATGTCTTCTAACACAGGATCATCCTGATTAGGTCAAGGGTGTCAGAGAGGGAGCATTCCAAGAAAAAAAAAGTGACTTCCTGTTCTGAGGGGGTGGAGCTTTGATGACATCAGAATATGACCACAGAGCATCGTTGGGCATCCAACAGGGATGACTCATGCCAATTTTGGTGCATTTCGGTCTTTCAATGTGAAAGTTATAGCGTTTGGAAATTAACGGCTTTAAGCACAACTTTGAGGCCTGGCCACGCCCCTTTAACATATATGGAAACGCAAGCTTTTGATAACTTTTACTCCCCAACATGTTAAGGGCATCTTAACCAAGTTTGAAGGCAACCCTTCAAAATCCCTAGTAGGAGTTTGTTAAAATTCACAATTAGAAACACCCAAAAATGACCCTGTGACCCAAAATGGCCGACTTCCTGTTGGTTTTGGACCAGGGCTCCAAAGCCCCTTATCCACAGGTCCGGTTCTTTTAGGACCCTATTATGCCTTATTTAGGCCGGTTCCGGTGGGACCGGTTCATTTCTGTCTCAACAGTGTCCATAGTTCCCCTTTAGTGGGCGCATAGTTCACCTTTAGTGGGTGGATCATTAATATCAACACGCCTTACCAGCTGGTGGTGCTAGTGCTAGTGCACCACTAACACCTATAAAAAGAAGAAGAGCTGGAAAAGAGCACACAACCAAAATGGATGATCTTGCTTCTGTTTTGAACATTCTGGTTTGCCTATGGCTTTTTCTCATTTTTCATGTACATATATGCACAAGGGCAGCTGCGGCTGAGTGGGTAGAACAGTCGTCCTCCAAAACGAGAGTTGGGGGTTCGAATCCACCAGCAGTCACATGCTGAAGTGTCTCTGGGCAAGACACTGAACCCCTCATAGCCTCCAATGTGTGTCCCATCAGTGTATGAATGTGATCTAAAAGCACCGATTACTCTCTTTAGAATGATTTGTTCAATTAGCTTTGTAGAGATCTAGTAGAGAGCTGTATGAATGGGAAAATGAGGCACAGATTGTTGTAAAGAGCTTTGGGTATCTTGAAATAAGATAGAAAGGCGCTATACAAATGCAGTCCATTAATCCATTAACCACACACACACACACACACACACACACACACATACATATATATATATATATATATATATATATATATATATATATATATATATATATATATATATGACTGTCTCAGTGAGCTAAATCATTGGTTTTCTACCAATTTCCTGCAACTAAGCAGTGATAAAACTGAAATCATTCTTGTTGGTACCAAAAACTCTATTTCAAAATCAGAACATCTTCTCGTCCCCCTTAACAACTTTCTGCTATCCCCCTCGCCTCAGGTCAAGAGTCTTGGTGTAATCCTCGACACCACTCTCTCATTCACTTCACACATTAACAATGTTACTCGGTCTGCCTATTTCCATCTCCGAAATATTAACCGTCTCTGCCCTTCTCTTACACCCCGCTCCACAGCCATCCTTGTTCACAGTCTTGTGACTTCTCGGATTGACTACTGCAACTCCCTTCTTTATGGCCTCCCCAACAAATCTCTCCAGAAGCTACAATTGGTCCAGAACTCAGCTGCCCGTGTCATCACTCAAACCTCCTCCTATAATCACATCACTCCAGTCCTGCAGCAGCTGCACTGGCTCCCGGTTAAATCATGCATTGTCTTCAAAATTCTTCTTCTCACTTCCAAAGCTATCCACAACCTTGCTCCGTACCTATCTGACCTCCTACACATCTCCATCCCCTCTCGCTCTCTCAGATCCTCCTCTTCACTACACCTCCATGTACCCTCTGCCCGCCTCTCCACCATGGGAAGCAGGGCCTTCACCTGCTCTGCTCCTCATCTCTGGAACTCTCTACCCCCTGACTTAAGAAACACCACCTCTCTTTCTCTATTCAAGACTGCTCTGAAAACACATCTCTTTAGACTCGTTTATCCTTAACTTTGCTGTATGTATTTTATATTCTTTTTGTTTTTATATTCTGTATATATTTTATATTCTTTATGTATTTTATATTTCAATTTATTCCTGTTGATCTTTGCACTGTGCTTGTTGTTTGTTTTTGCACAATCTTTCTGATATGTTTCTTATTGTAAAGTGTCCTTGGGTGTCCTGAAAGGCACTTTTTAAATAAAATGATG